AGAGATGCTGAAAATGTCGAACTGTACTTGCAGTCGACCATGCCTTTATTTATATATAAGTGAAGTACAAAGTACAAGAATTTACTGGGATACCCATGATTAGTGATGGGACACCCAGAAGACTTAAGACATAAACAAGATTAGGCCCATTAGCAAAGGCCCAGTTACAAGATAAGTTTAACATAAGATGGGCTAATAGGAATTCTTATCAGCCGAACACACTCAAGCCTTCTAACATATCATTCTAACAGTCCTCACCCTTCACTTTACACAAGAAGCACCAATTTGGGGACAAACACAAGTTTTCTTCTTTTGCAAGTTTTCCACCGTATTGATCTTACCCAAGTAGGCTATCCAACAAAACACTGCTATTTTAGGAGGAATTGGCCTTGACCAGACCTCTTTAACAGGGAACACCTGAGAGGAGGGATTGGAGCAGAGGGTTTTAAAGAAAGAAGCACAAGTGAAGGAGCCAACCGAGGTTAGAGACCAAACCCTTTTGTCCAGGTTAGGGGGTCCAAGCACACTAAGTCTAGAAGCAAAAAAGAGCTCTGAAACACAAAGAAGTTCTTCATCCCTTAACCCTCTTCGAAACCCAAAATTCCAGTTTAAATCCAAAGGGCAAACCGGGGGTGAAACATGGTTTCTTTTTTTAAAGAGGGAGATGGAATAGARAGAAGGAAAGCGGTCTTTTAGGGGTTGAGTGCTCACCCAAATATCTTCCCCAAAAAGAATGGAGTTTCCAGAACAAGCATCATACCTTACAAATTTGAGAAACTTTGGGAGAATGCCATAAATAGCCTTCTAATGTGTGGTGAGCGAAGCCCTTCGGGATACCTCCGCATCCCAACCTGATTCAGAACAACCATGGATACTGTTCACTACTTCATGCCACAACCTCTCCCTCTCCAAGGGCCACCTCCAAAGCCACTTACCTAAAAGAGCTTCATTCTTACTCATCACATTCCCTAAGCCTAGGCCTCCTTCATTTTTGCTTCTACTCACCACCTCCCACCTAATCAAGTGATCTTTTTTCTCTTCCCCATGTTCCCATAAGAAGTCCCTCATAAGTTTTTCCAACCTCTTTGCTTCCCTTCTAGGAATTCTAAAGACTGACAAGAAGCATAAAGGCAAGTTGGCTAGAGTTGCTTTAATCAAAGTAACTCTACCCCCTATGGAAATATAGTTTCTCTTCCAAGTTGTCAATCTTTTTTTGAACTTTTCCTCCACCAGTTTCTAGAACCTACTTCCTTTGGATTTGCGCTTAAGGGAAGTCCTAGGTAGGATAGAGGCCACTGAGACCAAGTGCAATCTAATGAGGCTTCTATAAACTCCACCTCCTCTCTACTCAAATTTATTCCCACAATACAAC